CATTTAAAATATTATATCTATTAAAAAATGATGTAAGATTCATATCAAATTATTGCTGCTTAAATATATGTTCGGACAGACGGAAAATATTACCTCTCCCGGGGGCGTATGGGAAGACGCTGCGGTTGCCGTTTGATCTTGCCCCTGTTTGATCGTGGATCCAACTTGCTCACTCCGAGGCTCACATGCGTTTATTTAATAAAATAAATTACATCGCTTCATACTCTTACATCGGTTTATACTCTACCCAATTCATGACAAAGTATGAACGTGGATTGCTGCAATACGAAAGCCTTCCACGTAGCCATTATTAATACTGAGCTAAGAATAAACAATTTGCGTAATTTACAAACCTTTTTCATTTCTTTGCCGGATGATGGCCACCACATGCTGTGTCAGTCGTTGGGGTTGTTTGACCATAATTCTAGATTTGATGCAGCTAATCTGGCTGTGACGGTCCCACCTGATGACGGAGACTTGTGTTGCCTCCGAAACGTCGTGATTTTTGTTTTATTTTATTTTCATTAATTTTGATGTTTTACCTAAGTGACTTTACCGAAAAAACCTAAGAATTTGTTTGACCATACTTCACCACACAGGATACAAGGTGATATCACTCACCACTTCGTTTAACCATGGCCAGTAATCGAACTCGGGGCCATTGCGTTCAAGTTATAATCTCATATAGCGATACGACGATTAATAGCAATCGTGCAGTAACTTGTTAACGCTAAACATACAATGGGAATGCACCTTCGCAGCCAGTGCAGTTCATCGGTGTGGGTTCCTGCACGGTGACTAGGTCGTGGAAATGCCAAACTGCCAACGTATTGAACATCTTCTTGGTTCTTTCGGTAAAGTCACATAGAAGGGAAGTAATAAAATAATAAAAATAAAACATCAAAAAATAATTCTCACGACGTTTCGGCCACAACGCAAGAAGCCGTCCTCAGGTGAAGACCAGGTATGTCGGGGAGACAGCTTTTTTCAGACGCTGTCTCCCCGACAGACCTGGTCTTCACCTGAGGACGGCTGTTTCTTTCAGACGCTGTCTCGACGACAGACCTGGTCTTCACCTGAGGACGGCTGCTTGCGTTGTGGCCGAAACGTCGTGAGAATTATTTTATTATGTTTTATTTGTATTCTTTTATTACTTCCCTTCTACGTGACTTTACCGAAAGAACCAAGAAGATGAATCCCTGCAGTCACGAAAGCTTTTAATCGAAATTGACTGGGATATGTATGTATTTGTATGTGATGCTTATCTGTCGCTCTAACTGCATGGCAGTCACGTGTAAAAACACGCGCTAAATACAAATAATGTATCGTCATCATCATTAGTTACGACAAATCCGCTGCTGGACGAAGGCCTACCCAAAGTCGTCGGCACCTCTCACGACTCCGCAATGCCGCAAAAGCAGCTCGCACGGGAACTGAATTCACCGCTTCGTGTATCCAAGCCGGGCATCCTCCCGGACGCGTTCCCTTCCTTGGCTGCTCTCTACAATTCGCCGTGACCATCGCCCATCGTCCCTTCTAGAGCTGTGTGCTGCACAAGACAACTGTTCTCAATAGTTCGGATGATATTTTACACCATTGGAACCTCATTTGCCAGTAAAAATATGATAATTGGTTTTTTACCCTTCTTCCTGGCAACAAAACTGACACATTTTTTACAAGGAGTCATGTTTACATAGACCACAATACCTGCATTCATAATGCAAACAAAACAGCGCACATTATCAGAGTTATGTTTTTTGTTTGCATTATGACTGCAGGTATTGTGGTCTATGTAAACATGACTCCTTGTAAAAAAGGTGTCAGTTTTGTTGCCAGGTCGAAGGGTAAAAAAACAATTATCAGTTCGGATGATGTCATTCACCAGCGTGTGTTCTCGAATCCAAGTGTTTCTCTTTACGTCTCTTAAGTGTGATTCTAATCGTGTATCTCTCCACGCTTCTTTGCGCACTTTTCAGTTTTTGGTCTAAAATTTGTTGTTTGTTAATGAGCGTGTTGATGAAGCATATGTCATAACAGGTAATACACACTGATTGAATGTAGATATAAATACAGGGTGCTTCAAAATGTTTTAACACTTAAATGGGACTAATGTTTTTAATAGAAAAAAAAACAGATGATACACTGTAACATGATAACAAATGTAATTTTAATAGCTTCAAAAAGTCAAAGACTTGTTCACCATCGTTGTCAACACGTGCCTGGAATCTTCTCCAGGTGGCCTCCAGAGCACATTTCTTGTGGCGTTGTTGCAAATTCTCAGAAGTGTTAACATTTGTTTAAAGCACCCTGTTTTAACATCTACAAATATTAATATCTCTAACTCAAGCTACCTACGTCCTATCTAATCCCACACACTAATATTCACGTCACCACACCACATTCCACACGAGGGTCCACGAGGGAGGCACAACTAAGGAAGGAGAAATCAGATGGCTTCCCATTGCCTATTCTCAACATGGCTTTAAGGAAACGCAATCCCAGAATGCAGTTCACCCTCAACGGAAACAGCTGGGTCCTGTTGCTGCAGGTGACCTATTCATGCAGCAATGTGAAGGCGAGGAGGGTTGGTGGAAGTACACATTCGTGAAGCTTCCTCCATACCCATGGGCATCGAAGTCACCATCTCCTGGCTTAGCCCAGCAAGTGGCTTCATTTCTAACTCGCACCCACCACACAATCAGTACCGCCTGGCCTGATCAAGTCCTTTTTAGTACCGGACACTAACACACGTCCCCGCGTGTTTAAACCCCGTGCAAGGGACATGGATAACAAGTTCCCAACATGACAAAGAGCATCTTCCACGACCTTCCCATCAATGTCTTTGATCACGGCTGTGAACCACCACTTTTGCCATTTGACAGGTTTTCATTATATTATTATATCAGATTCCCGGGAAGAGCGCGGCCCAGCACCGGACCTCACCACCCACGGTTCACCGATTTTTCAATAACATTCTCCGCTTCGTTATCCCGCCGATCATCAAGGAAGCGGTGGCCTCCGGTAACCTAATACCGGGCGTGGTCATCTCCCCTTTTCAATCTACTGCCAATTATGCCTCCCCTGTTGTGCAATTTGCGTCCGGGTGAGTCTGAGGCACAGGGCTTGTGGGTGGTAACGAAGGGCGCAGCGGGGAGGCTGTGTGCCCGGAGGGGTTTGGGGGCTCGCGAGGCAGCGAGGAAAACCGGAGGGTGATCGGGACGGCGGCGGGAGGCAATGGGAGAAAGCGTTCACATCGCGGTAACGTGCTGCTGGAGGGGCGTTTGCACGTTTGACTGACGCGTGGGTGCGAAGATGATCACTCGTTGTGATCTGTGGTTTGGCAAAAAAAAAACACCGCCGAACGGCACAAAAGGAAATAGAGTGGCATTTTGAGTTTGTTTACAACGCGAGCGCCAGGTGTGGCGTTGCGTAATGTTGCTGACTCTCTGGCGTTTGTCCACTTCGATGCGCCACGCCTTCCCATCACGCTTGGGAAAGCCCACGTGGGCAATCAATTTCATTACTCGTAATTGCTCTTGGCAGACGCTGGGAACGGTTCATTGACGGCATGAACCTTGATTGCCTTTTAGTTATTTCACAGGAGTTTATTATCCGCCAGCGAAATGATGTTGTTGAACCACAATCCAGTGGTGTGGAATTATTTTATTTTCGTCTGCCACCCGAGTTCCAACTTCGGCACATGCGTAGAGGGACCACCTTCTCCACAGACCAACTCCAGGCATATTTCTCAGTCAGTCTAGGGGGCCTTCAACAACTGTGCAGTACTATGGGAACCTCATTTGCCAGTAAAAATATGATAATTGGTTCTTTACCCTTCTATCTGGCAACAAAACTGACACCTTTTTACAAGGAGTCATGTTTGCATAGACCGCAAAACCTGCAGTCATAATACAAACAAAAGAACATAACTCTGAAAATGTGCACTGTTCTTGAAGTTGATTGGTCCACACCCGAGACAGCTTTCCTTAGAGCCTAGTCTCATATGGGTTGGACCAGATGACGCCAAAAGGCGCACAACTCAAGGACAATGCACCATCAGAGTATGAGAGCTCGGGGCAAGCATCTACACTATGGGAACCTCATTTGCCAGTAAAAATATGATAATTGGTTCTTTACCCTTCTATCTGGCAACAAAACTGACACCTTTTTACAAGGAGTCATGTTTACATAGACCACAATACCTGCAGTCATAATGCAAACAAAACAGTGCACATTATCAGAGTTATGTTTTTTGTTTGGATTATGACTGCAGGTATTGCGGTCTATGCAAACATGACTCCTTGTAAAAAGGTGTCAGTTTTGTTGCCAGATAGAAGGGTAAAGAACCAATTATCAACTGTGCAGTAGTGTTTTGTTATAAGTTCAACACGGAACTACAAGGTTTTGGGACGATTCAGTTCCTGCCACCCAAACACAGAGGCCAAATCGTCGCACTGCGTTTTCATCGCCTGTAGAAATATCACACTCGGATAAAGACACTCCTCCTTGGCAGTCGATATTGTGCATCCACTCACGAATAACAACAGCATCGAGGCAGCCGTGGTCATGTGCACAATCCTCAGGCCAAAATTCAAAACTCTACGACATCAAAAACAATTTAGTAGGAATAGGGTGGGAAACACGCCATTAAATTTTAATTTAAAGCTTTCGTGACTGCAGGGATTCATCTTCTTGGTTCTTTCGGTAAAGTGACGTAGAATGGAAATAATAAAATAATAAAAAATAAAACTAATTAAAATAATTCCCACGACGTTTCGGCCACAACGCAAGCAGCCGTCCTCAGGTGAAGAACAGGTCTGTCAAGGAGACAGAGTCATTCAGAAACGTCGTGGGAATTATTTTATTATGTGTTTTTTTATTTCCATTCTACGTGACTTTACCGAAAGAACCAAGAAGACGCCATTAAATGTAGGGTTTTTACTCGTTCATATCAAAAATAAAAACGCTTCTCAATAAAAACAACAATAGTATGAAGGAAATGTTGATTGTTATGTTTATTAAAATGTTCCCATGAAAAACCCTTTTACAGAAATTCCCAAGACCTTCCGCTCACCGTATGAAACCCGTAATCATTTGAAAAAATCCACCAAAAGGAAACGACGAAAGATGCAGGCTCTCAAAACACCAAACATTTCATTCTGCGTTGAAAAGAAGCCAAAAGGAAAGCATTTAAGCAAAAAAAATTAGTAATAGCCAACGTCACGTGACTCTTCGGAGCCTGCTCGTTGTTTTGAATAAATTCTGCGGAAATGATGAACTCCCAGGAGGCCGTGCGGCTGATAGAATGTGTCAAAAATACGTGGAGGGATGGATACGTGAAGGATGCGCAAGTGTCTGTTTATTTATGCCTCGACATTGCCCATCCAAGGACGGGTGTATTGCTGTAAATCTGAAACTTGCAAGTGAAAAGCAGCCCGTGACGTGATATTGATTGCATTAATTCGTGTGCAATTTGTAAGGCCACGGTGACACAGACTTATTTCATTGACAGGTTATAATCCCTTGTTCATAATGACGTCCTTTTTACTTCGATGTCTCAACAGCGTTACGGAGATCGCGTGGTGACGTGAGGGTTCTGCCTTTGTAGTGAGGGTTGTGAGTTGACGCCGAGGAGGGGGGAGGAGGCGCCGCGCCCCCCCCCCCCATGTGGAGTGACGTCACCCGCTAATTATTATGAATGGAAGGAGTGTCCATTTGGAGGACGTCACCAGTTCATGATTATTAATGAGCGGGGCTGTTCGATGTGGAGCGACGTCACCCGCTCATGATTATTAATGAGGGGGGGGGGGTCCATGTGGAGGACGTAACCTGTTCATGATTATTAATGAGGGGGGCTGGTCGACGTGGAGTGACGTCACGCGCGGGACACACAGACATTCCTGGCTCATTATAGTAGTACATTGAAGGGTACTGCTGTGGTGGGTTCCCATATTGAAATATAATCGGCCAGTCTCTGGATCATGCACTGCTGCGATGTTAAAACTTCTCCCTGGCGATGACAATTTTTTTTATTTCTCATCGCGTTTTCAAAGAGCGTTTTTTTAAGTTTAAAACGGCGGTTTATGATGCACTGACTAAGTTTGAAGCGGATATTGCCTGCAGCTTGTTTCATTTTTACCGTAAAACAGTTCAAAGTTCGGTTTTCAGTGTGTTTAATTTCCCTTCGTAAACATGTACCGATGATGAAGTGAACCATGTTGGAAGTCAAACTTAATGTGTAGTTCTATGAACTCCAGTTCCCAGCCCTTCAGTTAATTTTAGCTTCCCAAAGACACCGGGAGGAGGAAGAGGGGGGGGGGGTCAATGAATGGACACTGGTGATGACTTGGAACACGTGCTTGTATTGGAGGTGTCGTCGTTTGGGTAGTAACATTGGGGCCATTGTGTATTTGATGGAGCAACGTGGGAGGAGCGGAATGTCCCCATCATTCAATCATCTCACTCTCCTGGACATTCTCGTCTTGATCGATCACCTTGCCGTCTAGGATCGTCTGCGTGATGATCTTCACAATCTTCTTCTTACTTCTCTTTTGAATGACCCCCACACCACCTTTGGGAATACATCATCATCACCCATCGTCATCATCATCATCACCGTCATCATTATCATCCATTGTCATCATCCATGATCATCATCACCCATCGTCATCATCACCCATCATCATCGTCATCATCACCCATCATTATCATCATCCATCATCATCGTCATCACCATCACCCATTATAACCATCATCACCCATAATCATCACCCATCACCCATCATCATCATCGCCCATCATAATCATCGCCCATCACCATCACCCATTATCACCATCATCACCCATCATCATCACCCATCATCACCACCTATCATCATCATCCATCCAACACTGTCCATCAATTACATCAATATCAAACCTCAATCATCCTCAGTTATATTCTAGAGACCAACTGAATTTTCACACATCTGCACCCGTTTGTTACAGTTGCTCAGCATACAGGTGCAATGGCCCAAAACATCTAACGGTCAGCAATGAGCAACGCGATCGCAGTTGTAATTGATAAAGAGTCAACGCGTTTTGTTTTAACGGGGAATGGTTATTACGTGGATCTTGGCAAATAGACGTTCAGGAGGGATTACAAAGTGTTGCAATGCAAGAGATGCGTTTTGGCCGCTTTGTATGATCAAGTAGGAGTTTAAGGAGTTGATTGATCTATTAATATCGATTATTGAGGCTTACAATTTAAATTCACAGCCCCCTGAGCAGGTGGCGGAAATTCCACATTCTTATGACGGGAGCGAATCTATAGACGCGACAACTACTGTTAACTTCCCCACAAATTGGTACATATTTTAACGACCCAGGAAGGATGAAGGACAGAGTCAAACGCCAACCAGGATTTGAACTCGCAAGCTTTAAATGGCGACCCTCCTGCTTTGCCGCAGAGCCACAATACAAGTGGTAAGAAGGGAAATAATGTTTTCACCGAATGCAAAGTGTATTTAAATAACACCCCAATGTGTCATTTGAGGATTGGGCAGTGTGGAGACGAGCTGGAGTGAACAAAAATAATAAACGCGAGGCAATCTTTTTTTAACGCGTAGGCTTTCGTGACCAACATCGTCCATAATACAGGTTTTTTGGGTTTGATCGTGTAAATATTGTCGATTTGCTCTCCAACACACAGGTGTGCTGAACTAGTTACAAATTGTAATTTTTTGTTTACTTGACAAACCTTACTAATTGGCTGTGTCGGGTTGAACGGCACATTTATATTAACGCGATCGAACTCAAAAAAATATGTATTATGAGCAATTTTTTTTTTAAACCGAACGACTGCCCATGGGGGAGTCGTAACTCCTCTGCTAGTCGCGAGCGGAGGGATGCCATGCAAATGCTTTGTTTACCAGCAACGGTGCCATCAACGCCGTCATCATCATCGTCGTCATCATCATCTTGGCCATTGAATTTGCTTGCGGAGGAAGATCTGCAGACGAGAAATGCATGCAGGCATCTAAACCTCTGAGCTATGTAGCTCTTTTTTCAGAAGCGACCTGGCCACAAATGATAGCTCAACAAAGTGGCTTATCACGTGGAATTTTATAGCAGCCAAACACTCTAAACGCACGTTTCTAAATGTGGAGGGAAAAACCGGAGGACCTGGAGAAAAATCCACGCGATCACGGGGATACGGGCGTCAGGGACAGGATCAAAAGAAACCACGACCTCCTGTATGCCAGGCGAGATAGTAAATATCTGGCCACCACCGCGGCACCCATCTACTTCGAGCCAACCTCTGCTCAATGGGAGGTCACTCCTTCTCCTCTGATGTCCTACACTGTCCTAGAACCTGTGATAAAAGATATACAATTTTTTGTTATATATATTTATAATCATCTGTTCATTCACCAGTCGAGGGTTTCAGAAATATGAACGTCAAAGTCAAGTGAATTCCTACTCGAATGAGTGTGGAGACGGTGTTCAATCATCTGCTGAAAGCCCTTAAGTCAGTGGCGGAAATTCCTCATTCATATGGCGAGGACGAGTCGTCCATAGGACAACCGCAATTGACTTCCCCACCAAGTAGTACTTATTTTATCGATGATGGGCTGAGTCGACCCCAAACTCGGATTTGAACTCACAATGCTCCCATAGAGCCACTCGCTCTACCAATTAGTCACTACTTTTATGCATTCATTTTTTTTCATGAAAAAAGGTGAGACAAGGGGGGGGGGGGATTAGGTAACTTGGGAAGAGTATCGGGACAAGATAAGAAGGTGCCCTAATGGTTGCAAAACAATAATCATGATGATATGGTACCATGCTATAATATCCATTTTACCTTAAAAATATAAAAAAGAAATGCAAAGACAAAAACAACAGCAATGATAACAAGTAAACTTCAAGAATATAATAATTGGTTCTTTACCCTTCTATCTGGCAACAAAACTGACACCTTTTTGCAAGGAGTCATGTTTGCATAGACCGCAATACCTGCAGTCATAAATACAAACAAAAGACATAACTCTGATAATGTGCACTGTCCTTGAAGTTTACTGGCAAATGAGGTCCCCATAGTGTAGATGCTTGCCCCGAGCTCTCATACTCTGATGGTGCATTGTCCTTGAGTTGTGCGCCTTTTGGCGTCATCTGGTCCAACCCATATGAGACTAGGCTCGAAGGAAAGCTGTCTCGGGTGTGGACCAATCAACTTCAAGGACAGTGCACATTATCAGAGTTATGTCTTTTGTTTGTATTTATGACTGCAGGTATTGCGGTCTATGCAAACATGACTCCTTGCAAAAAGGTGTCAGTTTTGTTGCCAGATAGAAGGGTAAAGAACCAATTATCATATTTTTACTGGCAAATGAGGTCCCCATAGTTCAAGAATATAATTGGCTGCTATGCACACATGTGTATGCAATATGGGCTTTAAAAATAATAACATACATTTTGTAAACATTTGGATACTTACACAGTCTGCGATGAACTATAACCTGCGGATGAGAAATGGGCATAAGTTACATGGTCAATGACACGCGATTAAAATCGGTGCCAAGTGACATTTAGACCGATTGTGGGCACAATGTTATATGAGAGGTATGCTTATGCTGTGTAATTGTGGACCAGATTACACAAACAAAGTGGAACAAGTGAAAAACAATGCAAACGAGGTGGTAACAAATGAGACGCAAAAAATAAATTGAATCTTGAATCGGATCCTAAATTGATTGCTCATCAATTCACTGTGGGTTTGTGGGGTTTAATCGCTCCACGCCTCCCAATGCACCCCCGTGTTCTGACCTGCTCCATATCCACTTCCAAACGCTCCACCACCAGCACCTCCACCTCCACCACCAGCGCCAAACGCTCCACCACCTCCACCACCTCCACCACCAGCGCCAAATGCTCCACCGGCTCCACCAGCACCACCAGCTCCGCCCAGCCTGCGAACAGACACACACAAAGACAAAGATCCCCCATATAACCTTTAACAGACTGTTGGGGCAAGTGCTGTAAGCGAGCACCTATGAAGGTCGGCAAGGTTCACCTACATTTTTTGGGGGTTAGATCGCGTAAATATAAATGTGTCGTTAAACGTGCCACCATCCTACACAGCCAATTAGTAAGGTTTGTCACGTCAACAAAATATGCCAATTCATTACTAGTACAGCACACCGGTGTGTTGGAGAATAAACCCACTGCAACATTTATAATTCGAGAATCCGTGACGTTTCGCCGGTAATTACAACAACCAGCATCAGCAGGCGACAGCCACAGAGTTGTGGAGAAATCCCCCCGTTTCGATCTGAACAACCCGGCCGGAAATGGATATCCATTGTAATTTATATCACTACATAACCCCCCCCCCCGCCCCGTCAGCCGTCCACCTACGGCTGTGTCGGGTGGTGGCGGTTTTCACGACACATTTACATTTAAGCGAACTAACACAAAAATACACCCCTGTATCAGTGCCAGATTATCCTAGTAGCAAATGTAGCTACATATGCTACGGGCCCCCCACTTTCAAGGGCCCGGCGCTAAATGCTTTCAAGCTATCAATTCCGGTTCAATGATGCTGCACTTGCTCTATTACTATAGTACTATACCTGCCTTCAACTTTTACGAACGACTGGGTGTTTAAGGTTAGCGATTTGTCGCATTATCCGGCTGTATAGCAAATGAAAAAATACAATTACTTTACTGCGCAAGTTGAAAATGTGCGCTTTAATATTTACGTGTTTTATTTATTTAGGGCCCCTTTATAACGTATACTCTATTATAGACACAACTCGGAACTCTGGCGACGGTCATGAAACCTCTCCCGTCCGTTCACCTGTTGTCCTCTCCCTCCAGCAGACGCCTGTAGGTGGCGATCTCCATCTCGAGCTTCATCTTGGCGTTGAGCAGCGTCTGGTACTCTTGGAGCTGCGCAGTTGTCGCCCGCTCGCACCTGAGCGATCTCGCCCTCCAGCTTCTGCAGCTGTGCCTGCAGCAGCTGCAGCTCGTGGCCGTAGCGGCCCTCCGTGTCGGCCAGCGCATCCTCCAGAGACTTGTTCTGGGGCCGAGACCACGGGACCCGTCACACGCTCGTGTTAATTGTAATGGTGATATTCTTGGTTCTTATTTATTAAAAACATAATACATTATTATTAAAATATAATAAATGATATTTTATTTTTATTATTTTATTATTTCCCTTCTACGTGAATTTACCGAAAGAACCAAGGAAATGAATCCCTGCAGTCACGAAAGCTTTACATCGAAATAATGGTGATATTCTGGGTTCTTTTTGGATGCTGTGGCTCTGGGCTAGGGGTGGGGGGTGGGGAGAGACGCCATCACGCGTGGGTCTCTCACCGTGCTGCGTAGCATCTCCAGCTCCAGCATGAGCGTCTGCAGTGACTGCCGCGCCTCCTTGCTCTCCATCTTCACGGTGTTCAGGGCCGCCTGGCCCTGCGACGCTGTCGCCTTCACCATCTCCGCCTGCTCGCGCGCGCGCGGTGAAAGAGTGCGGGGAAGTCGCGTGGTCAAGTGGCCGTGTGTTGGATACTGCCAAGTGCGCTGTGTGACTCAAAGTGTACACACACACATATATCTACCAAACAAAAAAATATATGACTATTAACACTACCGTCATGTTCTGAAGTGGTCGAACAACTGTTTTGAGAAAAAAATTACATGACGCTATTCCTACTGTCAAATGCAACTCGTTATTATATGCCTTTCAAAGAGGGTTCATCACATGCCAATCAAACCCATTTGCAATCAGCCAACTTCAGTGGGAAAAAAACCCGGATTCAATAATAGCTGTTTCGTGTGATGTTTGTCAACTCTCGTCATCGCAGAGAGTCTGGTTTAATCATCGGCAGCTAAAATCTGAACTTCACCCCAAGATTTCAGCGGCGGATTTATTCGGTTACGTAGTCATACACCTGTCAACACATCTGCTGAGCACAGGCCTGAAAGCACCCCCCTCCCCAAAATGTCAAGTGGCCGAGCAATAAACACTACGAGCAGTCAACAGCACCCGCGAGTGTGACGAGTGGTGGCGCAGATGAGCGGGGTGACCGAGTCAGTGGACCAGTCAGTGTTGCTGTGACTGCCGGCATTGCGGTCGCTGAACACCAGAACGGATGAGACGAATCATTCGGTCTGGTAGACAAAGTCCTCGTCACGGGCGTATGTATCAACGAGTGAAGTTCATTGGAATAGCAGCCACGGCAGTAGCGATAGAAGCGTGACGATGAGTTATTCTACGGGCACCTGCTTCTTGAACGCAGCCTCGGCCTCCTCTTGGTTCTTCCTGATCATCTCCTCGTACTGCGCTCGGATCTGCGCGATGATCTTGCTGAGGTCGACGCCCGGGGCGCTGTCTACCTCCACACTCATCTCGGCACCGCACTGCGCACGCAGCGCGGCCATCTCCTGCGCGCCCGACAAGCCGGGGAGAAGGGAGGGAGGGAGGACGTTCGGACCGGACAGAAATCGCCCACCGCGACTGCAAGGATTCATACTCTTAGTTCTTTCGGTAAAGTCACGCAGGTAAAAAACGAAATTAAAATTAATAAAAATGAAAAAAAAATCACGACGTTTCGGAGGCAAGATCACTTGATGCAGCAAATCTGGCTGTGACGGTCCCACCTGATGACGGAGACTTGTGTTGCCTCCGAAACGTCGTGATTTTTATTATTTTATTTTTATTAATTTTTATTTCATTTTTTACCTACGTGACTTTACCGAAAGGACTAAGAGTAAATCGCCCACCACGGTCAATACCGCAACAGTCTTGCCCCCCACTCCTGCGTCAAGCCCCATGTCGCCCAGATTGTTCAAGTTCAAGTTCATGTATTAGGTATAGTCCTGTGAGCCATTCGGCTCTTGAATCGGGTGCAACCGCAACAAACAGAAAACAAAAACACGAACAAAAAAACATCTTAAAGTGACTATGTGACTAAGTGCAAACAGAAAATCCAAGAAAAGACAGCAAAACATTGCAGAAAAAAATCACCGTACGCCAACGCTGTGTGCAAAAATCCCAGTGGGATGCAAGTCAAACAACCAACAACAACAACAACCACAAGACAACTTAGATTAAGGTCATCAGTCTAACTCTGCGCCCGCCACCGGCCAGAGGGCCTCGCCGCCCACCTCGGCGTGGTTCTTCTTGAGGTAGAGGAGCTCCTCGGTGAGCAGCTGCAGTTGGGAGTGCAGCAGTCCGCTCTCCGACTCGTAGTCCAGCTTGAGGCCCCGCAAGTTGTCGATGTCGCCCTCCACTGACTGGCGCAGAACAATTTCCGTCTCCCACCTAGGCCACGCACGCAGGGTCGGTCAGACGCAGCGGGTGGGCACGGTGGTTTGGATAGGCTGGACACGACGGTTCATGAATTCGTTGAATGAAATCGATTGTTATGCTCCAGGGATGCCGAGCTGTTTGACGCGACCCGTCACCCATGCGGGAGGCAACACAACGAGCACTGCTTTGTGACGAATCAATCATGGCTTGTTTTTATAGATGGACGTGCGCCTGCCAGAGAAATGTGGAATCATCACGATTGGTTCCGAACCACCAACGGAGATGAGCAATGTCCAATGCTAGTTTTAATAAATGGTGTGAGACCATGTTACCGACGACTTAACGAATGAATGTATCATCATGAACAGGTCCAGGAGTTAAAGATTTTTGATTATCATTAAAAACACTGATGATGACGCTGAGAATGAAAAAAAGACAAAATCTAAGCCACGATCCCGTCACAGGTGTCTTGAAGTGAAACATAAATCAATGCCAACACAAAAGCGATAAATAAGAATGGACAAGGTGAAATTAAAAGATTTGTGAAACAAACAACAGGTTAGATAATTGCAGGGTTGTCCTTGAGGTACCTAAAGTGAACTCCGGAATGGGCCCCTCCCCTTTGGCTGAGAAATCGGGGACCTCAAGGCAAAGAGGGCGGCTTTCATGCGGAACAAAGCCGAGCCTGTGCCCGAGGGGAATAAACCCGTGGAAACTTCTCCTTAAAGACCATAACGACCGTGTGTAATACACTACGGCGGCGGTGGTCATCAATTTATAATGACTCGGTGCTAACCCACGACACACACGAGTCGGCGTGAGTGTTCGCGTGTTTTTCTTTGTGTGTCTGTGTCCTGGCGGTAGTGTAGCGGTTAGCGCGCTGCGCTATGAACCTGGCGACCCAGGTTCGATTCCCGCTCACGGCTAACACTAGTGACGATTATTTGAACCGGTCCTGGGCCTCCCTTAGGTCGACTCAGCCTTAAATGAGTACCTGGTGCGGTGTGTAAACATCGCCACTGGGGAGGCAAAGGCGGTCGGGCGTGGTGTTGGCCACCCACCCCCTCGTGTGCCGTGCCGGCCTTCACAGGTGCTCGCTAACAGCACTTGCCCCTACAGTCTGTTAAGGCTATACGGGGGATCTTTGTCCTGAATGCAGGGCCGGCGGGTTGACGGCTGCCTGCCTGTCGGCTTGATGGCAACGTGACATGCGCTTTGACGAGCGCGTGCTGGTGCCTCCGTTCGCGACAGGGGGCATCGATTCGACCTCCCTCGGTCCATCTCCGACAACGGGCCGGGTTCATCCTGAATGTTTCTGTTTGCGCGTAGTCACTTTAAGATGTTTTCTTTTTCGTGGGTTTTGTTTTGTTGCGGTTGCACCCGATTCAAGAGCCGCATGGCTCACAGGGCTATACCTATCCATTGGTTATTTCGGTAAAGTCACGTAGAAGGGAAATAATAATACAATAATACAAATAAAACGGTGAGAATTCTATTGTTTTATTTGTATTATTTTATTATTTCCCTTCTACGTGACTTTACCGAAAGAACCAAGAATATGAATCCCTGCAGTCACGAAAGCTTTAAATCGAAATTTAGGGCTATACCTAATAAATGAACTGAAATGAACTCAACTGAAGCATCCGAGTGGAGGTCGTGGATTTGCGGTGACTGAACGATAACCGGTGGACAGAGTCACCGTTTACGGAATCGTTTCCCAATTCCGACAGGCGGGAACCGTTCCTCGAGAGGGCACTGCGGTGGCCTCAGTCGCCACGTGGTTAAACTTGCCCTGGCGTCTCAGTTAAAAGGTAAAGGTGCAGCCCTGCAACGGCTCGCTCACGACAATGCTGGCGCAAGGGGGCCTCCACTCGAGGAAGCTCTTAAGAGGGTGTTTGGTCTACTCTTCCATGCCGAGCAGACGTCTTGGAAGAGGTACCCACGCTTTTCTCCACGACACACCAGCTGCCAATGGACTCAAAGCGGAGCAACCCTTTAGGCTGCTGCGTGGACAGAGGTAGAAACTCGCCACATTGTTTTAAATTCAGTGCAAGGAGCAGAAGTGGAACCGGCGACATCTGGATTAGAAGTGGCGGGTGCTGACCACTGCACCATGGCATCCCCCCCCCCACCTTGCGTCCATCGCGAGACATTTCTAGAAGTAAACTTTTGGTTCTGAATGGAAATTCTCTTCACGGAAATCGGCACTGAAGACAACCTGAAAATGATTAACCAATGTCCCCATGAACGCTGCCTTTTAAAATTGAATGTTTTTGGAAACGGCCTTCCTTGAGGGCAGAGGGGGTCAGATTGTGAGTCACATGGCAAGGTTGTGAGTCATATAGCAAGATTGTGAGTCACATGGCAAGGTTCTGAGTCACAGTGGCAAGACTCATTATACAATGTGAAGGCTTGAAAATTAGATATAAAATGGCTGCGTAGTTGCCACTTGCAATCGTGTGGAACATTTACTTAAATTGATAAGAAAAGTAGACGTATAACGAGTGTGTTTTGAGACACAACTACACATATCAAATAACAACACGTGCAGTGCGCTCGCGTGACTGATTGCCACATAGTCCCAGTTCTGAGTTCAATATCCGGCATCGGCAAACATCAGTGGCGAGTGATATCCGAAGCGGTTGCTGGGCCACCGACCACTTTGTCAACAACTCCGCGTTGACCGCTGGAGTGAATTACGGTCTTACAGCTTGCGGAGGCCTTCATTCAGCAGTGGATTGACGACGAGCTAAGAATTATTGCTAAATAATAATGACGACGATGATGAGTTGATGATGATGATGATTAAACAATAATCATCGCGGTTGATTAAAACGAAATTTAAACCTCCAAGACACTGACTGGGGCAGCATTGCATCCTGAGCTATATATTGACAGCATCACTGTACAAGCAGCTTTTGTTTGGAAATGCAGGCTGGTCCCTGTGTATTATTACTAAGCAGTGTTTGTTAATGATCAGCACGGTTGGCTACATACGGTGCGAAAGAAGTTCAACATACGTACATACAATGGCCGCAGGGTGAGGAATGGTTTCTATGTGTCAAGTGACACCCTGCACACCCTTGCAAATGATATTTTCCGTCTCAAGGGTTTTTTTCCGGGTGAATATTTTAATCATAAAAAAGGAGTGGTCCGTCCTGTGCTTTACGCCACTGTCCACTTAAGTCCCAGACATTTCAATAAAAGTTCAATCCCGTTGTGAAATCCTGGCTGATGAGCAGCATTTATGGATGGGTGCAGGTCCTCGGAAACGAAACACGATTCACCAGGACAGAAAGTCTGACATGCCCTAGGACAAAACGTAAAAACATTGATTTGGAACAAGTTCCGGTGCGATCGCAAATCTATAGGCGCGACAGAAGTTGCTAGGGTTGACATTATCGCTTCTACTGCACCAGCCAATCAGCTGCCAGGAAGGCAATCCAATGCAACATGGCCGACATGATGTCACAACATGTCCAGTGTGACATCATGGCTTTGTGCATGTCAGTTGATCTGCGGCTGAGTCAGGTGTGTTTATGTTATTAATATTAATTATATTCGCCGTGAATGTTATAAATGTAATTTTTGTCATAATTATGAAAGTGTATTAATTGTTCTACGTTTTTTTAATTTACTTTGACAAACGGAATCAGAATCTTTGTTTATCCTGAAAGAATTCCGCACCTCCGATTAGCACGGTTAGCTACGTACGGTGCGAAAGAAGTTCAACGTACATGCATACATTCCACGAGCTATACAATGTTTAATTTTCTCAACTCCCTCACGGAATCAAATTTATGAGAATTTCTTAGCTTAGGCAATTTCTTAAATTGTGTCAGCTCTGGACTTGGGCCCATGATTCCAGGTCAGGGGGAGAGGATATTGTCACATTATACAACCATATGGCCACGTTAATTGACAATGTGATTTGTGCCATTCACCCTGCACTGTTTTGCAATCACAATGTTGGTGGAGTGGTGCTGTGGGTGCTGGTGGTGGTTGGTGGTTATGGGGTTGAAGGTCATTAGATGGTAATAGAATTTGCCAATTGCACGACGCGTCAGGAGATCGGCATTCATTTGAAATTTAAACATCCGTCTCCCCGAGTTCCACCGTCGCTCTCTCAACACGTGGACGTCACTCACTTGGTTCTGAAGTCATCGGCGGCCAGGCGGGCGTTGTCGATCTCCAGGGAGATTTGGGCGTTCACCAACTTCGCAGATGTGATCTGGTCACACGGAACGGACGCAATCGCTACCATTTGCTGTCACGCGCGAGAGCTCAGGGCGCAGCCCATCTTTGATGGTTCCAAACAATGGATATTGTATTATGCATGCGGTTTAAACTGGCCTTTCCCAGTCGGCTGCATCAGCATCCAAACCACAGCTGAACCGCATTCTTCTTTTCAAAGGCAGAGCACGCCAAGGGCACCTTTTCCTTCGGCCACTGCCCATCTACCACCAACCACAAACTTAGGTGCGGTGCGTCACCGTTTGATTGAAGTCAATTTGTGGATCTCCAGCGGCAACGCCGTGTAAATGTACTTGAAAAATGGACAGACGGTTAATTTTATTTATTCCAGTGACATCTTATCTGATATAGATTTATATAGCACCTTTATCGAGGCGCTTTACAGCAATTATAACATTGCACATCGGATGATGATGATGATGATTTTAAATGAAGAACTGAGCTATTATAAGTGCTGGTGTAGTTTTAATGACAGCAGAACAAGAGGGATTGGTAATTAGGGGCCAGAATAGGCCTGGTTGTGGATGGGCTCAGCGGGGAATCTTTTAATGTCCATAACCCGAATTCGTCGAATGCACTTGTGCTTGATGTGTTCATACGCGATGTGTAAACACGTGATGTGCAAACACGTGATATGCCGACATATAACTTATTGAATTCATACTGTGGAGGATTTCAAGTCGCGCCCTTGTCCGTCAAATAAAATTGCATTTCAATTAAGTTTCTTCATCAAAAGGTCAGGTATTTTTCACGGACCGTGTAAAATGTTGAACTCAAAGTAGCTTGTGGTGCATCAGCACACTGCGCTACAGCAAATGATGGGTTCAATTCCTGCCTGGGAATCACTGCACCAGTGACAGGTGGAGATCATACCTAGTTTGAACCTCACCCAGATCGGCTGGGCCTACACATCTGAACGAATTTTTTTAGTATTTTACTATTTAACCTTGGAAATCAGACGTGCCAGTTGCAAGTGGGTCTGGCCACGCCGCTCTGTCGTGGACGCTGCTGCTGCTGTTAATTGACGCAGCACTGAACGTTAACATTCAACAAGGTTTACGCGGGGGTCATCAGTCTTTGATGCCACTCAGTATCGCAACAAAGCTTCGTGGCTGCAGTGTGGCTCACCGGTGCACCGCGGTCTTACCTGCTCAATGAGAGCCTCGATGTTGACGAGCAGGGGGTCGTAGTTGGTGGTGGAGATGTTGCTGGCGCGGGACTCCTTGATCTGGGCACAGTGACATTCACGCTGCGCTAGAGGACCCTCCGGCGGCGCCGATAGGGGCGCGTTGACGCAAACAACGCTAGCCCCCCCCCTCTGCCCAATGGACCGTAAAGGCACGGGTAATTTGAATTCTGGTAAGCGTTGCTTAAGAACTTTAAAAAGTTCTCTTGAGGGTTTGGGAGTAACAACAACGCTAATTTGCTTTTCCACGAAATCTTCAATGGGTCTCAAAACTCAATGTTTAGGGTATTGCTATTGGATGTTATACAAATTAAAATTTGTACGTGTGGAATTAAACCAGTGTCACGGAAAAACCCATATATATACCAAATAACTTTCAAAAAGGTCATAAACCTCCCTTGTTGTACTGCCACTAAAACAGGTACCACCACGTGGTCCCTGCCTGCAGGCATATAGATGCATCACGTCGGCTGTGTGATGCATCAACTCTCGCCTGCGAGTCACTGGACGGCAGGTGAGCATTGCCTGCGCATGCAAAGAGTCGGCGACGTTCACGCGTTCACAAAGCCACGTCGCATTCGAGAGACGTGAACTTAGTTGAGGTCATTGTCGTGGGTTGCTTTGTAGTCTGGAGTCCAGGGAGGTGTCAAATTGGAACTGGGGACACTGAGAATCAAATTACCAGTCCCCATTGTGTTTCTTGTTTAACTGAAGCATAAAGCTTCTTTCACTCGTGCGATACTCAGAGCTGCCTCTGACACCAACAGACAAGACTGTACGCACACGAAGGATAATTTACTCACGCATTCATTCACAAGTTCGATTTTAGCTTCACTGCGTTCTGGGAAATGCGCAGCGCTAAAACGAGTTGAGCCACGTACATCGTTATTTCATTTCGGAAATCGCACACGGAAATTTGCTGCTCGATTATACAGAGCAGATACAACCACTTATATAATTCACATTGGGGCTGGTTATGTGGGAGTGAACAAGATTTGACGAGTTAGAATCGTTAAAAAATATTCTATTCCAGCCACATATGTTCGTCCTTTATTTCGGATATATGAATTTAGATTCCTTAAAACTCATCGGAAGGCAATCTGTCTCAAAGATAATTTTCAATTGAACAATGCTTTCGGATGCGTAATCAAATATTAGTTTTTATCTTTAATATCACGATTGTTATTCATACCAACGACCCACATGACCGACACGGCGTGGTAATGGCATTTATCCAGAGGTGGATCGACACGAAACTCTTGAACGATGTGCAGTGCGGTATTCTTAGGTTTTTTCGGTAAAGTCACGTAGGTAAAATATTAAAATTAATAAAAAGTAAAATAAAATAAAAATCACGACGTTTAATTTTAATGTTTTACCTACGTGACTTTACCGAAAAAACCTAAGAATATGAACCCTTGCAGTCACGAAAGCTTCAAATCTAGAATTTGTGCAGTGCGGTGTGTCTAGAAATGGTTGTCCTCTTGAGAAATCGGAGCCTCGCATGGACGTTGGGGGATTTTCCATCCCTGTCTCATTGGGGCACGACGGTGGCGAAATGTTAACTACCTCGCCTGGTATGCAGAAGGTCGGGTACTGAATCCCGGACCTTGACGCCTGTTGTATATTTGGAGTTTGCATGTTCTCTCTTTTTTTCACCGGGTCCTCCGGGTTTCCCCCTCCACATTTAGAAACATGCATTGAGAGTATTTGTCTGCTATACATTTTCACATGATGATAAGCCACTTCGTTGAAATATCATTTTTGGCCAGGTCACTTCTGATAAAGAGCTTACGGCTCAGTGGTGCATTACCTGGTAAAAAAAAAATGCTTTATAATAGTTTCGTTATTCATTGAGCGGCGGTGGAGACACGACGCCTTCAATCGCACCTGACACCGCGTGCACGCACGCCAGAGAAGACGCTCACCTTGATCTCTAGGGCTTTGTTGACAGACTCCAGGTAGCGGACCTTCTCCATGTACTCCTCCAGACGCGTGTTGAGGTCCTGCATCTCGAGCTTTTCATCGCCACCCAGCAGTCCTCCTCCTCCCGCTCCGCCGCCTCCTCCGCCCCTGCCGAGGCTCATGGAGGAGAAGGAGGACGAGGAGTAGGCCGCCTTGGACGAGGAGAGCACCGGCTCGGCCCCGTAGATGAAGACGCCGCCCGAATGCACCTCGATGCCACCGGCGCCGCCGCCGTACATGCTGGCCGCGCTGCTACGGGCGACGCTGTGGCCGCCGCCGCCGCCGCTCTGCGAGTGGCTGGAAAATTTGCGAGCCGTGGACATCGTGCTCCCCGCTCTTGACATCTCGAGAGGAGTTCGGGAGAACTTGAGAGACAGAGAGAGAGAGCAATGGGATGGGGATATCACGAAGTTGGGAACCCGCCGGCGAAGGGACCTACGGGTGGCTCGAGCTTGAGGTGGTGAATTCGACAGGTGTGGAGGGCCTCGAGGTGGGCCTTCAGACGCTGCGGGACACGTTCCGGTGTGCGGTTAAACGCTCCGTTCGCCAGATATATATAGAGCACCACACATGTGGGTTGAACGTGGGCCAGCACACCCCGGCTTCCGATTGGCTCGCCCTGCCCCGCATTAATTTATCTCCCAAGCACAGGTCGCATGAGCCCGCTGGGTGCTCAGGGCAGTGACACCTGCTTCGGTTAATGGTTATTGAAGCCAAGGCACCAGGTCGCGCATTTCATCGGCCACACCTGCCCTGCGCGGAGGCGGAGACAACCACGGAGCTCCAAGCCACCCCCCGTTGGGGCTTCGCTGAGAATGAGCCGGCATTCAGGGCTGCCCGCGTAAGCTCCTTGAACCGCGCAGCAGAGCGAATGCTGCACTTCGCAAAGAACGCATTCACGTGAAATGAAAAATGATCAGTAGCACGGCATTTTATTGCCATATAAAACACCGAATTGTAATGCAATAATAATAATTGCTTTTAATGCTCATATGAGTACCAAGGGCAGTGGCTCATCTCCTGTTTACAACCCTGAACCCAGCGGTGGAAATTCCACATTCCTACAGCGGGGGTGAGTCAAATCCATGGGACAACCGACGTTGACTTCTTCGCAAAGCGTTACTACTATTTTATTGACCCCCAGAGAGAACATGTGCCGAGTCAATCCTCAGCCAGGGTGTGAACTCACGACCTTTCTGAGTGCGAGCGGCTCGCGTTCAGAGTCGCGCGTTGACGTTCCGTGCATCAGAATCATTCACGTCGCTTCGCAATTACGTCCCTAAGCAGTGGACCGCGTATAAGTTGCGTTTTTTTAATTGAAATAAATTTTCGTAAAAAAAAAACCTGAATTTTTGTAAAATACCAGGCACTATCATCAAGAAGACAACCGTTTGAAGAATATTATACTGGTAGGAACCTCCTGGTTACAGCAGCCCACAGGGGATTATTGTGTCCGTCGTGCAGGGAGGGGCTGGGTGGGGAGGGGCTGGGTGGGGAGGGTGGGGCTGGGTGGGGAGGGTGGGGGGTGGGAGGGATGGGGCTGGGTGGAGAGGGGCTTGTCACTCCGTGGTGCCCTTATAAAACTCAACATTTAACCTACTCACGCCGGCTTGTGCCCACCCTCACAGTCGGGCATATTTGCGGAATACACCACGCCGCCGTTGATCCTGGCCATTGACCGAGCAACCCAACGTTTCTACCAGCTCCCTCCGCAGGAATGTGTTATTTAAAAAAAAACGTCATGAATGTGCTGGCACTTGGAATAGAATTAATTCACACAAGTTGCTGCTATGCCATATCGACGACCTAAAACGATGAAAGTGACTAGTCATAGGATTGTAAGCAGGATACTTCACGCGAAAACTATTAGCTTCCCGTCTGCTCACACATTGAATCAATTTGTATCGACAATGTAACAGGTAATAAAGGCATTGCCTTCCATTGTATTTCAGGGTATTATTCGTGAAGGCACAATGTACTTGAATAAAATGCATTGTGTATTCCTCGGCTGCTTTGTAACATGAGACAGTTGAAATTCAGCTGAAATGACCCCACAACACTGCAAATATTATGCGCTCAGGTATCAGTATTTGACACATCTGCCAATCCCCACACCCACGATCTCCTCGCCTTGGCAAACAAAGTGCATTGTTTAACCTACTGGGTGCCTGCATCCTCAATACCGCCAGCTGTATGCGCACCACGTATCTACATTAGATACACGGTATTGTCGAAACAAACGCTGTTCTGTAATGGGAGCACGCACAATTAAAAGCTTACCGCTTCGCGTGAATAACCTGCTGTGTCCATGGAATATCACATTTAGATGACACGCCGGAAGCGTGCATGCAACACACACGAATGTAGCATTGCCCCTGACACAAGTATTGATGAGTGCTGCTGGCATTATACTCTTAGGTTTTTTCGGTAAAGTCACGTAGGTAAACAATAATAATAAAATAAAATAATAATAAATGAAAAATAACTAAATTAAATCGCGACGTTTCGGAGGCAACACAAGTCTCCGTCTTCAGGTGGGACCGTCACAGCCAAATTTACTGTCAAAGCTAAATTTACTGTATCAAGTGAAATTTGGCTGTGACGGTCCCACCTGAAGACGGAGACTTGTGTTGTCTCCGAAACGTCGTGATTTCATTTAGCAATTGAAATTTATTATTATTATTGTATTATTATTATGTTTTACCTACGTGACTTTACCGAAAAACCCCTAAGAGTATGAATCCTTGCAGTCACGAAAGCTTCAAATCTAGAATGCTGCTGGCATTATTCGAATCGACATCCCAGGTCAGCGCTCGCTGTTGTGCGCGATTGTGTATCACGTCGCAGAAGGCTTTCTCAATGCAGGTTCCAGCCGATTCGGTAAACAAGTATAACCCGTAAAACAAAGTTTTTCACTATAAATCCTTTATATGCGTGGCGGCTAGAGTCCTCTCGTCCTCTGGCTTGAGATGGCTGCCACCTATGGGTCAGATGATTGCATGGCAGCATTAAGCAATTGGTAATTAAATATTATATTTTTGTCCTAAAAAGTGTACAATTTTGGAGAATTTTTTTTCACGAACATTAATTGTTACGCACCAACGAGTCTGTGTGGAAAATGTCAGCTCGATTGGATCACGGGAAGTGGGTTAAAAAACGACCGAAAGATTTGCACGGTCCTAAGCAAGCAAGCAAGTGAACTTAATATAAAGGATTTAATAAGTATAACCCGTAAAAACTAAGTTTTTCACTATAAATCCTTTATATGCGTGGCAGCGAACTTAATATAAAGGATTTAAAAATATATTCGCCTGTGGAGGACGCGGGGATCGATCCCGCGACCTTTGGCATGGGAAGCGAGGGCGCTACCAACTGCGCTACTCCGCCACGGCCTGTGGAGGGGTTACGCTCTGGGCTCTTACACTCTGACGTTCAGCCAAAGCCATGAATTAGTTCTATTTGAATATATGTAAAATAAAATTTTTTTGCCTAAAAAGTGTAACATTTTGGGAATATTTTTTCACGAACAATAATTGTCTGGCACAACGAGTCTGTGTGGAAAATGTCAGCTCGATTGGATCACGGGAAGTGGGTTACAAAACGACTGAAAGATTTGCACGGTCCTAAGCAAGCAAGCAAGCACGCGAACTTAATATAAAGGATTTAAAAAGACCATGCTGCCCAGGCCGTCACACATGTTTGGGGAACAACAATTAGAGTATCAATCTTGATTTGAAGCTTTCGTGACTGCAGGAATCCATACTCTTTGGTTCTTTCGGTAAAGTCACGTAGGTAGAAAAATGATCGATCATGACGTTTCGATCGCCACACAAGCAATCGTCCTCAGGTGATCTATTAATTTTCTACCTACGTGACTTTACTGAAAGAACCAGAGAACAAGGAAAGTCTCCCCAGTTATCTGTAAAAACGATTTGAGAGTTTTCCCACTTTCATGCGAAGTGTTTCTGCGGGGAACGTGGTTTCTTCCATCGAGCGTGATAATGACGCTCGTGACTGAGCCAGGAAATCTTGTTTTTGAGGAGCATTCCACATTTTAGTTGTTGAAGCCAATTCAATTGAATCGAGATGATGAATTTTAGTCGACCCCAAATCACCATCATTCATTCAAATACCAAGCGCTGTCATTTTGAAGACAACTATTTTAAGAACATTATTAGAAACGTCATGAATGTGCTGGCACTTAGAATATAACGCCAATGCATTATTCAAACCCGTTGGAATTCTTGAAAGTTGCTGTTATGCCATATCGACGACATGATTTAAGTGAGTGATGAATGTGAGTCAAGCGCAAATCGTGAGAATTCATCAAACTACCGGTGGGGGAGGGAATGATTAATGCAAGCCTAATATCAGTGCGACTCTCCTTTCCGTGAAAGAAAATCACTTTGGGATTGCTCTACAAGTGTAAACTAATAACACTGGTCAACACTTTTTCTGGCATAAGGTATTCCAACGGTTTTAAGGTAATTTTGGGGTGCTGATTCAAAATCTGGCATCAGTTTTTGTCTATCACATCAGGTTTTTGAGATATCAAATATTGTATTTTCAATAACAACTGCAGAAGAAAAATATTAAATAAATGTGGATATCTACATAAAATTATATTATAAACACACTATCCTAAAAATACAGCACCATATTTTAACACTAAAGCAGTCACTGACTCGCAACAACTTGCAATCATAAGTGACGGAGTTAATTTCGGGTAAAATCAATGAAAATGGGGTATGCCGATAGCATAAAAAACAGATTTGGAATCAGCACCCTGAAATTAGTCTAAAACAGCTGCAAAAGTCCAGAATTTTTGTTGTTGTTGACCAGTGTAATTATAACTCACTAGCGTCACCGTTAAGCCTTCGTTAAAATGGGAACATCAGGCGGGCTCGCATATTGAGCAATGACTTCAAATGGTTACGCTTCCCTAAATAGCATCCAACGAAATTTATTCCAAAGTAGGCGAAATAAAAGCTGGTGAGTTAAACTGTTCAACATCTCCCCCTGCGCGTTTGCCAAACGCTGCTCACCGAACCTCGCTCAGGCACACGACGGCGCACTGTGTAACGTGACGACGCCAGATGGTATTTAGCAGCCGGACGGAACAATGTTTTAAACGGAGGTAAAAAACAAGTGGGTTAAGCGGGGCGGCGGTGGGGGGCCCCATTCACTTTTCACGGCACGCGACAATAGACCTCGCTCTGGCGAGCGCTCGCTTTGCTTTGTGCGCATTGAAGGCGACAAATTGAGGCATTAAATAAACATGGACAATGCACCGGTAACGGCGAATGCCATGATGTCTTTCAGAGCAATGCACTGTACATGCATGTTAGGGGGCTTGGCTGGCACATGCGGAGGGAGGGCTTCACCAGGTAGCCCCGAAGAGAGCGGTGGTCGACTAGAGAGAGGTGGACAACGAGAGAGTGGTGGACGAGAGAACGGTGGACAACGAGAGAATGGTGGACAACGAGAGAGCGGTGGACGAGAAAGCGGTGATCGACGAGAGGTCGACGACGAGAGAGAGCGGTGGACGCGGGGCTCAAGGGGGGTGGCTCAAGCCCGGAGCACCGAGCCGTGACGTCACCATTGACACGTGGGCGGGCGATGTCACAGTTGCCCGTGGGAGTTGCAGTTGTAAATTGTTGATGTCTTGTTAATATGCCAATGAGGC